CCTGGAACCGTACAGCGGCTGTATCTGACGCCCTGCAACCGTACAGCGGCTGTATCTGACGCCCTGGAACCGTACAGCGGCTGTATCTGACGCCCTGGAACTGTACAGCGGCTGTATCTGACGCCCTGCAACCGTACAGCGACTGTATCTGACGCCCCGGAGCCGAGCAGCGGCTGTATCTGACGCCCCGGAGCCGAGCAGCGGCTGTATCTGAAGCCCTGTGTCTGACGCCCAGGAGCCGTGCAGTGGCTGTATCTGTCGCCCCGGAGTCGGACAGCGCCATATCTGACGTCCCGATGCCGAACGGCGGATGCATCTGTCCCCCGTAGCCGTTAAGTGGCCGTATCTGTCTCCCCGGAGTCAGACAGTAGCTGTATCTGACGCCCCGGAGCCGGACAGAGGCTGTATCTGACGCCCCACAGCCGCGCATCGGCTGTATCTGTCGCCCCAGACCCGGACATTGGCTGTATCTGACGCCCCGGGGCCGGACAGCGGCTGTAACTGTCACCCCGGAGCCGTACAGCGGCCGTATCTGACGCCCCGGGGCCGTACAGCGGCCATATCTGTCTTCCCATGCCCGGACAGTAGCTGTATCTGACGCCCCGTAGCCGTACATCGGCTGTATCTGTCTCCCCGGACCCGGACAGTAGCTGTACCTGGCGCCCCGAAGCCGGACAGTAGCTGTATCTGGCGCCCCGAAGCCGGACAGAGGCTGTATCTGACGCCCCACAGCCACGCATCGGCTGTATCTGTCGCCGAGGATAGCCGGCCGGACGGCGCCGGCGGTGCCTCATGTCGCGCGAGCCTCCACCGCGCCGCTGCCGTCATATGTATTTAAACACTGATAGTTGGCTGCCCCGGGGGAGCGGGTCGTGTGACCAGATTCCTGGAAGGGCGGCGCCTCCGTCTGCCCTCCGACGGCCGCGCTCGTGGGCCGCTGAGTCAGGCGGGCGGCCGCGGCGGGTGAAGCGCCGGCCGCGAGGCTGGTGACGCTGCTGCAGATACTGCCGATATTCGCCTTCCACGTAAACTGGTGTGGATTCGATCTTTACCACCGTACCCACAGTTTCCGGCATGCTGCATGAATGACAGTGATCGACTAGGGGGCTGACCCACACGCCAAGCGCTGCCAGAGTCCGGAGCTGGCGGACGGCTCCGTCGTCTGGGGCGCGGACCCTGGCGTCAGAGAGTCCGGAGCTGGCGGACGGCTCCGTCGTCTGGGGCGCGGACCCTGGCGTCAGAGAGGCCGGAGCTGGCGGACGGCTCCGTCGTCTGGGGCGCGGACCCTGGCGTCAGAGAGTCCGGAGCTGGCGGACGGCTCCGTCGTCTGGGGCGCGGACCCTGGCGTCAGAGAGTCCGGAGCTGGCGGACGGCTCCGTCGTCCGGGGCGCGGACCCTGGCGTCAGAGAGGCCGGAGCTGGCGGACGGCTCCGTCGTCTGGGGCGCGGACCCTGGCGTCAGAGAGGCCGGAGCTGGCGGACGGCTCCGTCGTCCGGGGCGCGGACCCTGGCGTCAGAGAGGCCGGAGCTGGCGGACGGCTCCGTCGTCCGGGGCGCGGACCCTGGCGTCAGAGAGGCCGGAGCTGGCGGACGGCTCCGTCGTCCGGGACGCGGACCCTGGCGTCAGAGAGGCCGGAGCTGGCGGACGGCTCCGTCGTCTGGGGCGCGGACCCTGGCGTCAGAGAGGCCGGAGCTGGCGGACGGCTCCGTCGTCTGGGGCGCGGACCCTGGCGTCAGAGAGTCCGGAGCTGGCGGACGGCCCCGTCGTCTGGGGCGCGGACCCTGGCGTCAGAACAGCCTCTCACTATCGACTGCAGCATGCCGGGCGGGCTGACGAGCGTGGCCAGTGACAGGCAGTGTCAACACGCACGCTTCTTGATCAGCACCGTTGCAGCTTCCTGTTCAGGCTGCCGAACCGGGACTGTTTGCTGCTCTATGCGACGTCGCTAACGTAATTTCCAGCGATGATTTTGTCGTCCAAACGCTCGCACGTTATCTGAGGTTGACAATGACCTGGTCATACGACCCATCTATAGCGTACAAATTCCTCGTCCAGCTGCATACCTGCGGCCGGACACTGTCAAGCACCTTCATCTGTCTATGACGGACGGATGACCCACTCATGCATCTTGTCTGCCGGACAATGACCGAGTCACATGTCTTGTCTGCGACACACAATATAGCTCATGCAGGCGCCCACCCAGTGACAGACAATGAGCCCATCGGCCGGACAATGATGCGGCCCGGGCCGGCCTGTCCGACGGAAGGCGGCGGCACGGCGCCGCGGCCGGCGCCGGCTCCGTTTAAACGACAGACCACCTGCGGCCGTCCGGCCGACGCCAAATGAGGCCCGCCGCCATACATCATTAGACTTTCCAGCGCGGCGGTGCGCGAGCCGTCCCCACGTGGGGCCGAGACCGATGTGCGCCGCTCTATCGGCCCATCTTATCGGCGCGCGCGCGCGGCGTATATGGCTGGCGCCGCCGGCTGGCCGAGCTGCAGGCGGTATCCCGGCGAGAGTGGTAATGGAGCGGCCGGCCGCGGCGGCGTCGCCCGCCGGCCCGATGGAGACGTGAGCGCCGCGGCGGCGGCGGCCGTGGCGCCCCGTCCGTCCGGGGCGACGCGGCGAGGACGGCGCCGGTGACCGCAGACGCCGGCCAGCCACGGCGCGGCGCTCCGCCCGCCGCTTCTCCGCTGCAGCCGCAGCCCCTGGTGCCTGGCGGACAGCCGCATGAGCCAGCCGGGCCCGGCCGCCGCCCGTCCTGTCCGGCGCCGTGCACGGCATGGGCGACATGTCATACCACCAGCGGAGCGCGGGCGGACGTGCCAATACCGGGCCTCTGTTCGAGACGTCACCTGACCGCCTTCCGTCGGGGAGGCCGACCATAAATACAATGGGCCAGGCGCTGCGGGCAGCGCAGCTGGAGATGTGTGATGCTCGGGCGGCCGCCAGCCGTGGTCCTTCACCAAGGACAAAGAGGAATGCGGATGACCTAGCTGACCGATTCCCACTAAGCAGAAGGAAGTCAACTTATTATCGCGGAAAAGGCTTGGTTTGTCCAGACGCATGCTGTCAGTTTCCTGGAGCACCAGCAGCAAGTCGCGGTCACGGGCCGACGACCGCTGACCACGGCTGGCTCCGCTTCAGCCCGCAGCGCCGACAGAGGGGCCGTGGAGGGCGAGCGCGCCGACAGACGGCCCGAGTCGAGCGCTCATGCCGCCCACGTCGGCACGTGCCCCGCCTCAGCGGCTGCTCAACACGCTCCTCGTTGCGCTGCGTCACCGCCCGTCGCGGCATCGCCGGCGCCGGTGTCCGGCTGACCGGTACGGCCGCACGGCCGGTCCGCGGGCGCCCAGACGGGCCCGCCGGGGCGGCGGCCGTAACGCCGACCCGTATTTGCGGCGGCGGATGTGACGGTTTGTTTATGAGCGCGGCGGCGCGGCGTAACGCGCTGTCACCGGCTAGCCAGTTGAGGAATGTTGACCGACGCGACTCGCGACACACCGACACACGGCTGGGCGCCGCGTGACGCTCGAGGATGCTTGCAGATCGACGCTGGTCGACGAACTCCGCTCGGTTGTGGTGCGCATGTTTCGTCCGATACTGACACGGTTTGCTTAGCGCTACAAACTTTAAACTGGTTTGGCTCCTGACATACTAAAATAAACAGTTGTGGCACGTGGATGATAACCAGTTACAGCGTCAAATGTTAAGTTGTCCTTGGGTTTTTAAAGCGGCACACCAGCGCCCAAAATTACTGAGTGCGTAGATATTTAACGAGTCACAGATAAGTAAACTAAACCTAAACATCGTCTAACAAATGCGACAAAGTTGAAAAGGCTTTGCGAGTCGTGAATAATCGTTTAATGGGCTCATTGTTATTAAGATATGTCGAAGGAGCCTAACCCTGGTTACGGGAGAGATGAAAATATCGTGAAATGCGTCAGTTCGTTACAGATCGATCAATGAATTTGTGTGAAACATCAGATGTTTATTGAAACATTTAATACAAGTCCATTGTTGGAAATCTTGCTACATATGTCGTTCCTTTCATTGTAAGATCCATGGTATGAGTAGTAACATAATTGGTTAATATCGTGACAAAGAAAAAAATGTCAAACTTCTTCGTGTGCGTAGCAAGCTCTTTCCCTTTGGCAGATTCCGCTCTTTTAACTCAGCTTTTTATGGTACATGTCGATGTAAATGATCCCTTCCTGTTGGGCACAGGGGTGACCAGCGCGATGGCTGCACTGGGTCTTAATCTGGTCGATACTTTCAGTCTTTTAAATATAGTTTTAACGATATTGTGCCAGTCTTGGCGCCAGTCGTAGGTCTGAGAGCCGACACCAAAGCGATTAGCCTCTATAAATTACCAATGCTTTTTCGCGTAGTGTAACATCACGTTTTACACGCCTGCCTGTACACACTCATCCCATCACCCACATATTCAGTCGTGCATATGCCGATCCTTTGTCTCGCAATAAGCATGCAGGAGATGTCGGGGGGGGGGGGGGGGGGGGGGGGTCACAGGAATTGTCGACCACGTTGCGAAGAGTATTGCGAGAGGAGGCTGCCGTTTATAATGCAGAGAACATACTCAGATGGTGAATGGTTGGAAAAGTTGATGTTGTAAAGGTGACGGAACAAACATCTATGGTTGAAACATGCCAGAATCATGCCAATTTTAATGACAATCAGTCTGGTGGATGCTCTATCTGCCAACTTACACTTTACCCCCGCTCGCGCGGCACGCTGACGTATTGGCCACCGATGATTTCCCCGCCCCTTACGCCGTGTGATTGCGACAATCATTGACAACCTAACGAGCTGTATGCATTGTATGTAGTCCCTAGCGGGCCAAGAAACCATAGTCACGCATTCACACGTGTATACACCCCGCACACCCATACCTATACCCCCCCCCCCCCACACACACACACACCAGCGGTGTAGAGACGCTCGGTGGGCTTGCACTGATGCTGTTGCACCTCCGCCGGCAGCATATCGCCTGCGACGGCGTGGTGGGCTCGCCGCGCGTGCGGGACGCGTGCGGCGTGTGCGGCGGCAGCAACGCCACCTGCCAGATCATCTCCGGCATCTTCACCGAACCGTACCTGGAGGCCGGCTACCGGCTGGTGGCGCAGATCCCGGCCGGCGCGTGCAGCATACACATCCAGGAGATGGGCATCACTGACAACTATCTCGGTAGGCGACGGACATGCGTCACCGCCCGACTGTACTGCGGCTGTGGACGAATTCGTCACCGCCCGATTGTACTGCGACAGTGGACTAATTCGTCACCGCCCGACTGTACTACGGACAGTGGACGAATTCGTCACCGCCCGACCGGGCTGCGACAGTGGACTAATTCGTCATCGCCCGATTGTACTGCGACAGTGGACTAATTCGTCACCGCCCGACTGTGCTGCGGCAGTGGACTAATTGGTCACGCAGAGGAATCGAGCAAGTTCCTGATCATGTACCTGGGGAATGTCATCGTGAGGTACCAGGGGCCCGTTACGCGTACGCGTGAGCCGAGAGTCGTTTTAAGTTTTCTTGTAGCGCATGGCACCAGCTGCACAGTTAAGTCTGCATATCAGTTAAAAGGAATCCATTCTTAATTGTTCACATCGATTTAAACACACGGGCTGCTTGAGAGCTCAGGTTTTCCTGTTAACCACTGAGTCGCGATGACAGGCTCGTCATCACCTTCACGCCTGAGGAGGCTGTTCTCAGGCACGAGGGCGGATAAAAGAGTGACCTCTGAACGTGATTCATGGCGTGTTTGTGCTGGCCACTGGCGGTGCTTGCACTACAACGGCCCCAGGCTACCAGCGAAGCTGCAGCGAAATCACCAGACTGATGTTTATATGATGAAATAGGACCCCTGCCGGTCCATAAGACAGTCACAGATCTCCCGCCGTCGTCCGCCTTATTCCTGCTGTTGCTCACTGTTATCTATGGCTCAGCGTAAACACGAGATAGAATTCTTAAGTATGGCGAAGGTATGCAGCTTGTGTCTATTTGCAGCTGCATGAAGCAAAACAGCTGGTGCATGCATTTTTATCCGTTTTGAGTGTTGCTGTTATGGTGCACCGTGTGCAGGTGCAGTAAAATTTTTAGGTCCTCAGTGGCTCCAGCCCGCGGTCTATTTACTTTCCAAAACTATGAGCAAAACGCATTTCTTCTTCTAAATCATGCTGAACATGCCAGCTGATGTAATCCCTTGCCTGACGTAAATTCAATAGCCCTTGAAAAGCAATGCTTTTTAGAATAATTATTCGGCCCCGCGTATGGTCATTGCTGCGGGGATGTAACCGCGTTTAGATATGGTCATCTTCAAGACGGCTTAAGGTGGCTGATGTATGGTTCTTGATAGAGCACAAATGTCGTGACTTCGGAGACACCTAGCGATTATGCGGGCAACGAAATGTTTTGCATAGTTGACTGTAGCTGTGCGATGTTTTTCTGCAAACGATACAGTGGCATTTCATACATAACGAAACGTTACGGAACACCAGGTGACCAGCACCCCGTATTCTAAAAACATATATACATAGATGTCTTAAAATTCATTTTAGAAATGAGTGTTCGTGCCGCCTTGAAGCGCACGCTCGTAATTACCTAGGGGATTCACCCGTCTTGTTATCAAACCATGAACACATCAAATAATATATATATATATATATATATATATATATATATATATCCATTGTGTAATGATAGCATATCATGCTACACGCGTTCATGTAAGCGTGGATAGATACTGACACGTGTCCCCCATCGCAAAATCCTACGTACGGCCCCAACGCCACCTGCCTTTCTTCTGCATCGCTCACAAATCGCAGCAGGTGTCGCGAGCCAAGTATTCTGTGACACAAAATCGATGCAAGCGATCTCGTTTCTGGATATCTTAATAGCATTGCAAGATCAAACTCTGAAACCCTCGGCAATTCGTTCATTGCCTGCTGGTACCGTAATTTGAACCGTCTGATACCTGTTAGGGTTCGCACCACTAACAGGCCTTCCGCGGCGGAAGACCCTCCGTGTGCCCGTGGGATACCCCGCTCACAGGCCTCCCACGGCGGAAGACCCTCGGTGTGTCTGTAGGATACCCCGCTCACAGGCCTCCTATGGCGTGAGACCTTCCGTGTGTGTGCGGCATACCCCGCTAACAGGCCTCCCACGGCGGGAGACTTTTCGTGTGTCTGCGGCATACCTCGCTGGCAGGCCTCTCATGGCGGAGCACCATCCGTTTGTCTGTGGGATACTCCACTCACAGGCCTCCCACGGCGTGAGACCTTCCGTGTGTCTGTAGGATACCCCACTCACAGGCCTCCCACGGCGTGAGACCTTCCGTGTGTCTGTAGGATACCCCACTCACAGGCCTCTCACGGCGTGAGACCTTCCGTGTGTCTGCAGGATACCCCACTCACAGGCCTCTCACGGCGTGAGACCTTCCGTGTGTCTGTAGGATACCCCACTCACAGGCCTCTCACGGCGTGAGACCTTCCGTGTGTCTGTAGGATACCCCACTCACAGGCCTCTCACGGCGTGAGACCTTCCGTGTGTCTGTAGGATACCCCACTCACAGGCCTCCCATGGCGGGAGGCCCTCCGTGTGTCTGTAGGATACCCCACTCACAGGCCTCTCACGGCGTGAGACCTTCCGTGTGTCTGTAGGATACCCCACTCACAGGCCTCTCACGGCGTGAGACCTTCCGTGTGTCTGTAGGATACCCCACTCACAGGCCTCTCACGGCGTGAGACCTTCCGTGTGTCTGTAGGATACCCCACTCACAGGCCTCCCATGGCGGGAGGCCCTCCGTGTGTCTGTAGGATACCCCACTCACAGGCCTCTCACGGCGTGAGACCTTCCGTGTGTCTGTAGGATACCCCACTCACAGGCCTCTCACGGCGTGAGACCTTCCGTGTGTCTGTAGGATACCCCACTCACAGGCCTCCCATGGCGGGAGGCCCTCCGTGTGTCTGTAGGATACCCCACTCACAGGCCTCTCACGGCGTGAGACCTTCCGTGTGTCTGTAGGATACCCCACTCACAGGCCTCTCATGGCGGGAGGCCCTCCGTGTGTCTGTAGGATACCCCACTCACAGGCCTCTCACGGCGGAAGACCCTCGGTGTGTCTGTAGGATACCCCACTCACAGGCCTCCCATGGCGGGAGGCCCTCCGTGTGTCTGTAGGATACCCCACTCACAGGCCGCCCATGGCGGGAGGCCCTCCGTGTGTCTGTAGGATACCCCACTGACACAGTCACAGCAAGAGCGCGCAACTGTTAGGTGACTTGTCGAGGCATGTTCACGCCATAGTATCGTGATAGTTACCTCATTCTGGGTATTGCCGCATACACAGCTAGCACACAATGCGCAGAACTCAAACTCGGTCATCATCGCTAAAGACTCAACGCGCCACCGACCTCACCCGCCTGTCGCCCGCTCCGACCATGACCACGCAGCAGCAGCCTCCTGACCACCCCCCCCCCCCCCCCCGTCGTCGCCAGCATTGCGAGACATCCACAGCCGGTTCATCCTGAACGGTGACTGGAACATCGACAACTCCGGCACGTACAAGGGCGCCGGCGCCAGCTTCGGGTACCAGCGCCAGACGGAGCGCACCGGCGAGCGGATCTCAGCGCTGGGGCCCATCGCCGAGCCGGTGGACATAGTGGTGAGAGCGTCCCCCCCCCTCCCGTCTACCGCCCATGGCTAGTGCCGGTCCGGGGGCGGCGCCGGCCGCTTGTTGAAATGTAAGCGACCTTGCGATGATGTAGGTGACACTGACCCCTAGGTACCGTGGTGAATAATACAATATATACATGTGTGTGTCTATGCATATACGCATGCGTGCACGCATATAAATGTGTGTGCGTGTGCGCAAAATGCATGACATCCGGTTCCCTTGTATAAATGCATTCTATGCCTGGTCAGTAATGGAAGTTCGCTATAATTTGGCCTCACTGTTATGAATGTGACACCCTCGGCATACCTGACAGTGACTCGACTGTGACACCTCCACTAATGGAGCGATTGATCTGCGATCAACACTGATTGATCCAGAACTATCATCCATACCGAATCAGTACTGATGAGTCTGTAACTGTCATCGATACTATATCAGTACTAATTAGTCTGGAACCGTTATCAATACTGTATCAGGACAGATTGGTCTAGAACCATATCGATACTGTACCAATGCTGATTAGTCTAGAACCATTATCAATAGTGTATCGGTAGCCAACTAGAACATTACACAACCTCTGCTTGCCGTGTCTTGCCAAGTCTTGCATGGCAGCGAGTCCGCCCAGCATAGGGTCACCGCCGGCGTCTGTGGGCTGTCAGATCCTGTACCGGCAAGCCAACCGCGGTATCAAGTACGAGTACGCCATCAAGAGGAACAACTCCCTGAGCTCAGTGCTGCCCCGTCTGCCGAGCGCTACCGGTGTCGCGCAGGTGCCGAGGCCGACGCTGGCCGACCAGCAGCGCCAGCCGGCGCCCAGCGCCGTGGCGCCACCGCCACCGCCACCTCGCGCCAGAGGTGCGAACTAGAGCTACGCCGGGGACCGTGTTCTGTGCCCAGTACGCCCGCCGCCCGCCAGGGCTGCGCTGCGCGCGTTCTTGTCATTCCTGGGCTCTCCTATTGGCCAGTCAAACACCTGCCTAACATTGTAAGGTTTTAGCTCTGAGTAATCAATATATTGATAAATGTTTGTGCACAGATGCGGGACAGCAGCCGTCGGAACGTTCCAAAAAGACACAAAGTTCTCTATAAATTTGATTATTTCCATGCGATACAATCAACTCAAATTGGAATTTTCAGGGTAATTGGGTAGGCCATGACCAATCTGGAGGATTTTCACGCCTATGCTTGATTCATCATGCTTATTTTACCAATGGCAAACGTCATGTAAATGCATCAAAGTATGCCAAAAAAAGGTCGACGGCCAGTCTTATTTTGTGCCATGTTCGAAATATTAACTACACTTTTGCAAAGCCACTATCCATCACCCTCCAATATTACGGGAAAGGAGCTCTGATTTGCCTATAACCCCGACTCAGCCATACCCAAAGAAAGAAATGGGCACAACACGTTCACCTGATCCTTCCCATTAACTACTGTATGCGGATATATGTGAGTGTACCGTACTCTTGAATGCTTCAGGCGCGAAAATTACATAACCGGTATCCGCGTAGAGTCGATGCGACACATCGAAAAAGGAAACAGCTGCAAAGGCCTCCATCTCGATGAGAGCCTGTGTAACTGTTGCGGGTATTATTGACACCCAGCCGCAGGATGGTGTTGAAACCGGAAATTTTGTGAGATGGTTTGTCTTGCGTTCACCTCGAAGAGCAGCATAGCTCGCTGACGAATGCTAGGTGTTTCGCGACTTGACGCGCGAGTGCTGTCCCGTCGCCGACTGCTGCCGCTGTCGGCAGGCGGCGCTGGGTTTGTGTCGTCGCTCTACCAGCCGGCTCAGCGGCCAGTCAGGCCAGGCCGGACCCGGCCCCGGCCGGGGGGCCCCTCCGCCGCCGGCGCCGGCGCCCGGGCCGGAGCCCGCCGACGCCGTCGACGCCGACGCAATCGGTTCCAGTGGGTGGTGACCGGCTTCTCGGCCTGCAGCAGGTCGTGCGGCGGAGGTGAGACGGGCGCGCCACCGTCAGCTGGGAGGGCACGGCGACCCCGCACGACGCTCGCTGGAGTGGTGCGAAGTTGTGTCGCCTTGCGCTGCCTGCTGTGTCATCGGCCTTAGAGACATGCCCCACACCTCAAGCCCAGTGAACCGACAGAGATCTTTGTGATACACACGTCGTTGAGGGGCACGCCATGTATTGATCGGAGGCAAGCCACCTTCACCTGACTTGCGGTCCGGGGGGAGGGCAGGCTGGTTCGCGTAGGTTTGTCTCTTGCGTGAATTGTGGTGCTTTTAAACCATCTTGACGCGTGTTCGGTGGATAAGTTCAGCGCATGTTGTGTGTTCAAGTGTCGGTCATGCGTGCGGTCGCCGCAATCATTGCCGAAATCGCCTCATGTAAGGTGACAACAGACTTCACTGACAGCTGTCTCATTGGTAAAGGCTTCAGCCACATCAACCCCATTCTCCAGGAACGCAAATCGCCGAGGTGGTGTGCATGAGAAGGAAACGGAAGCAGCTGGCTCGCAACAGGAAGTGTGACCCCCGCCGGCGACCGAAGCCAAAGGCGACGCCGTGCAACACCTTCCCGTGTCCAGTCAGGTAAGCGGGGGCCTCTGTTGCCATTGGCGGACTACATGCAAACGGAAGCAGGGCGATGGCATCAAGCTGAACACTTCTGCTCTCGCCATTGCATTGGGCTGTTCAACTGACTAAGAAGCTCCGTTTCTCGCACTGCATCTAGCTGTGAATCAGTTCCACATATAAAATTATGGAGCAGAGCCTAGGTTGACGAGACCTGGGATATGGAAGCGCTTTTCCAAACAGCTCGAATTGTGAATTCAATGACCTCGTAACTATACTGCGCAGCGCGAAAGGGTCCATAGGCGGCGACTACCTTGTGCGTCGCGCACGTCGGCGCATGTATGCGGAGGTGTGTCTGATCCACGGCGGCCGGGGGTGACTGTGCCAAGCAGCAGCTGGGAGCCGAACCCCTGGTCAGCATGCAGCAGCACGTGCGGCACCGGCCACCAGACGCGCACGTTCCTCTGCGTGCGCGCCGGCCAGCCGGTGGAGGTGACGGAGTGTGAGGGACGCCCAACGGAGCCAGAGGTGCAGGAGTGCGACGCCGGGCCCTGCCCGGCCAACGCCCGCTGGCAGATCGGACAGTGGAGTCCGGTGAGTGGCTGGTGGCTGGGTCAGGATGGGCAGTGGAACCCGGTGGGTGGCTGGGGCAGGTCGGACAGTGGATTCCGGTGAATGACTAGGGCAGGAGGAAAGGCAGGTTTCGACGGGCAAGCGGGGCAGATCGAAGTGTGCAGCAAGTAAAAGTTCTGTGGCAGACCGGCCGCGGGCGTTCGATGTGCTACGAGCACATATCAGGCATTGTAGTTTGGCGAATTACTTAACAGATCGGATGGGAGAGACCGATGATTTATTTGGGGCAGACTGGACAGACCAGTCCAATGTGTCAATGAAGAAGATTAAATGGCAGAATCTTGCGTGTCACTGGAGCAGATTGGAAAGCGAGGTCAAGTTACTCAGGCGGATACGACAATGCAGTCTGATGAGTCAATTAGGCATATCACGGGTGGAGTCCAGTCAGCTATTAGTTCTGAGGCAGATCGGACAGTAGAACCTGGTGGACAATGAGTTTGGGTTTGGTTGAGGAGGCGAGTTATTATGGAAGATAAGCTACTAAACGTGGAGCACAGAATAGAGCCACAACCAAAGTTGTGCAGCTACCCAATCATCGTAACGGCTTACAGCTGCGGGGGTAGGGTTGTTGGGGGTAGGGTTGTGTCCGCACACCTGCGCCCCCCGTGCGCGTGCTGACGGAGTGTGTGTGGCGCGGTGCTCAGTCAACTGTTGTCGGGGGGCAGGATCAGTGTCCGTACGCCTGCGCCCCCCGTGCGCGTGCTGACGGACTGTGTGTGGCGCGGTGCTCAGTCAGCTGTTGTTGGGGGGCAGGATCAGTGTCCGCACGCCTGCGCCGCCCGTGTGCGTGCTGACGGGGCGTGTGTGGCGCAGCACTCGGTCAGCTGCTGTTGGGGGCAGGATCAGTATCCGTACGCCTGCGCCCCCCCCCCCCCCCGCGTGCGTGCTGACGGGGCGTGTGTGGCGCAGTGCTCGGTCAGCTGCGACTGGGGCAGCCGGACCCGTCGCGTGAGCTGCGCCGAACCGGGCCGCTGTCCGGCGACGGAGCGGCCGCGCGACACGGCACCGTGCCGCCTCCAGCCCTGCCCGCAGCAGGTCCACAGCGACCACCGCCCGGCCGGCTGGATGACCACCGACTGGACCGACCAGGTCAGCCGCCAGCTGAGACCGGCACACGCGTCACACGACAGCCGGCGACCGGCACACGCGTCACACGACAGCCGGCGACCGGCACACGCGTCACACGACAGCCGGCGACCGGCACACAGGCCATAAGGCACATGGGAACAGGCGCGCAGGCCGCACGTCACATGAAGATGGGCACACAGATCACACGCCATATGAAGACTGGCACACAAGTCATACGTCACATGAAGCCCGGTCCACAGGTCACACGTCACACGAAGCCCGGTCCAAAGGTCACACGTCACATGAAGATCGGCACGCAGGTCACAGCCTCATGACAGACGGCATCCGTCTGTCATGTGGGTCACGAGTGAATGTACACCCGTCGGCCAGCGCACAGAAAGATCACATGTACCAGGCAGCTGACGACCGGCGTGGGGGCCGCAGAGGTGAGGCGACAGGCTAGTTACAGGACAGGCCCAACACGCACGGCGCGATGGATGCCACGGGTGGCGTAACCAAAGGGCTGTGAAGTCGTGCGTGAGACACGTCCGATTCTCAGCAGAACACAGCGTGCGGCGTTCAGACATCATGCATGGGCCACCATCGGGACAGTTAGGTGAGTCATGTTCGCACCATGGTGTGCAGGCGTGCAGATGTCTCACTAGTTCAGCGAATGAGGATCGAGACCCCTGCGGGGCGTTCTGTATGGAAGTGAGGCGTTGTTGGCGTGTTGCAGTGTTCGGTGGAGTGCGGCCAGGGCGTGCAGTGGCGCGGAGTCACGTGCGGCGGCGACGTCGGCCGATGCCAGCCGGGCTCCCGGCCCCAGCAGACACGGCCCTGCAAGACGGACCGCGGCTGCGGCGGTATCTGGTTCACTGGACCCTGGAGCCAGGTGAGACGGGCCCTGGAGCCGGGTGAGACGTGAGACGGGTCCTGGAGCCCAGGTGAGACAGACCCTGGAGCCCAGGTGAGACGGATCCTGGAGCCAGGTGGGACGTGAGATGGATCCTGGAGTCGGGTGAGACTTGAGACGGACCCTGGAGCCAGGTGAGACGGACCCTGGAGCCAGATGAGACGCACCCTGAAGCCAGTTGAGATAGGCCATGCAGCGAGGTGAAAGCATTCCTCTTCCTTTGTTGCGCAAGATGGCCACAGTAGCCAATAAAAACCAATAAGAATAATTGGAGCCAGGTGAGGGATTGCCGAACGATATATATTCAGAACAGGAACCGCTGGTTCAGTGGAGCAGCAGAGATCGCGGAATTCTGAGATTATGTTCGGAGCAGGGACCATTGGCAGCCGCCAACAGGTCCTGATTAGTGTGAGCGTTGCTAGACGCTTCTATCTGACAATGCCGTGACGACTGTTCACTGGACGCGAGGCCAATGCCGAGCCGCAGCGGCACCGCTGACGAGCCGTCGCTCGACGCCGCTCTCCGGCAGTGCTCCCACGAGTGCGGCGACGGCGGCCAGGCCACACGCACCGTGCTCTGCATTCGGCGCACGGACGCCGAGTTCGCCGTGGCGGCGGAGCGGGCGTGCGCCGCCACGGCGCGGCCGCCGGACCGGCAGCCGTGCGGCGGCGGCGCCGGCTGTCCGCCCCGCTGGTTCGTCACCGAGTGGGCCGCCTGCTCGGCCACCTGCGGCATCGGTCGGCAGCGGCGCACCGTCGCCTGTGTCGACGCCGATGGCCGCCGCGCCGGCGGCTGCCCGCCGGCCGACGCGCCCGCCCACAGCCGAGCCTGCCAGCTGGCCGACTGCCCCGAGATGGGTAGGTAACGCGGACGTAACGACCGGCCGCCGCCGGGACTGGAGGGCTCACCTTTGCGAACTTGCAGTGCTCAGTCTGTCGATGTCCGTGCGAACATTGCCTTGAACCGACTGTTGTGCATGTTTGTGGGGGCCAGCGTGTCATCGTACGCTGGCGTCGATGGGCGGTAACGGTGTGTCCTGGTCGCTTAGGTGGTAATTTTCACATGCGGGTGGAATGGCTCCAGTCTGCAGAGCCTGAGCTACGGTCAGTCTCGCTTGCTATGTCCTGACAACTGTGATTTCTGGCGTGTTTGTGTTGTGTTGTCGCTGAGACCGTGACGTCCGCTATGCGGCTCTGCCCATGCTTTGCGTTCGTGTCTGACGCGGGCGTGTTTAGGTGTGCACGACGAGATTCCTGTGTCGTTACCTCTTCCACCACGTAATCAGTCGGATGCGGAGGCGCATGCGCGCTAAAGATCCATGCCACTTCGAGATAGTCCACACGCCCACAGTGCTCCCACGGCAGTATGACATAGCACACACCTCAAACACATCAGGACGTAAACCGCTTCAAAGCATACGCGCACAATAGTACCTGTTGGCAGGCAGTTGTGAAACCTTTACACAAATTTTGTCGGGCATTAAAAGCTAAACGTAACTGCACTATGTTAACTTTGCATGCCACACGTATCGTATGCAATTTTAATGCATCGTTTGCCACGTGCTATCACTACAGCTTACCCTCGTGTGCTGTGTTAACACGCCCACCTGTCCGTCCGGCTTGCTTGTGGCTGCGGGCGTGCGCGTCCCGCTCACCACTGACTGCGCCTTCGGTCTGCTCACTCGCTGGTCCGGCCCGTAGCCGCAACGACCGGGCAGCCAGTGACGGAGGGCAGCCTGCCCACCGGGCAGACTGAAGCAGCAGGTAGCGCGCCGACCGCCGACGCCGCGTCACCGGACGGGACCCCCGCCGCCAACGGTCGTGGACGAGTCGGTGGAGCAGCGGCCGTCCATCCTGACGCTGGACGAGTCCACTTTGGGCGGATGGCGGGGAGCCACAAACGCGAACAAGTCGGTGGAACAGCGGCCGTCCGTCCTGACGCTGGACGAGGCCACTGTGGGCGGATGGCGGGGAAGCACGAACACGTGGATCACGGTGGATGCCCCGACGCCGACGGAAGCTGGGCCGGTGGGCTCGACAGAGCCCACCGGTGTTGGAGCCACTGAGCTCGGCTCAAGCTCCGAGCCAACAGCGGCCGCCGTGAGCCGTGAGCTGGAGCTCGGGTCAGGCGGCCTCGATCCCATAAATACGGCCACCTCGGCGGCGGCGACAGAGGCGCTGGCGGGTGGGGCTGAACCAACCCGCCTACCGAGTGAGACGCTGCCAGCAGGAGAGCTGGAGAGGGAGACTCCGGCGACCAACCAGCCGGAGGAGCAGCTACCCACGAATGAGCTGGAGAGCGAGCTTCTGGAGACAAATGAGCTGGATGGGGAGCCCCGCTTCACATTCGAGCTGGACGAGAAGCCTCCCTCCGCAAATGGCCTCCGGGGAGCACCGTTCCCCGGGCAGGCGCCAGCCGAGAACACATTGGTCACTGATGGTAGCGCCGCAACCACCGAGGGTTTGGCGAATCCACGCAAACACAGGAAGCACAAAGACAGAGGCGGGCGCCGTGAAGGCCGCAAAGAAGGCAGTGGCAGTGGTGCGAGTGCGAATAACACAGGTAGGCTACCGCCGTGTCTCGTGCGTGTCTGGCAATCCTATCAGCGAGTTGGATATTGTCGATTACTCTGGGATTCTTGCATTCACCATCTGCATATTAAATGCATGCAGCTCAATGTAAACAATTTTACGGGTGCACGTAGTTCGACCGAGCGGTCGGTGCACTCTAAAACCCAGATTGTCGCTAGGTTATTGAGTTTACCTTGCATGTGACCTCTTCACCTTAGCGAGCATTCCCCTGTGGTGACTGTTGATCTTCTTCCAGACTCCTGCACGGATAAGTTCAGCTACTGCTCGTTGGTGCAACAGGCAAGACTGTGCAAATACAAGTACTATAAAAACTCGTGTTGCGCCGCGTGCAGAGGCGCTCGGTAGACCTCCATTTCAGAAGTTGGCACGTGAGTGACGAGCACCAGCGCCATCTTTCAGGCGATTGCTGTGCCATCTGTGCGCTTACGGAGGAACTCACTCAAGCTAAATTGACTGACAGCGGTGGTCCATATACGAGTGACGTGCTGCGCGTGGGATGGGGCCGGCGGCCAGTGACGGCCACCAGAGCGCGGCGCGCACTGCTCTAGCTGTGTGAATAGTGCTGCCTGTCTTCTGATGAGGACACCTTGCTGTGCCTGCTTCTGCGCTGCCCGTGCGAGGTCGCCCTACCGGCGTCGGGCGCGGGTCCGTGGCTGGCGCTGCTCAGCCCGCAGCCAGGACCACTGTGTAGCTGACTAATAAACGTCTTCAGACGGCAGTAATCTCGGGCCGGCGCCGTCCTGTGCTGGCGCGCACCCGGCAATCTTCTCTGTACAGCTGCACGGACAGCCACTGTCAGACACCGTGTAGAAGGCTGAGCGCCGCAGCTCTTAACAGTGTTTCTATTACCTTGTTCTTAATTGAAATAGGCCGTCAGGTGTATTTATGGTAAAGGCTGGCGCACGTGAGTGGCTCGAGGCGGCGTGGTGTTTGATGAAGAAGTATGAATTTGACGATGTTCCGCGCCGCACATGGTTCTGTCTAATGTTTGTTGCTGAGAACACGAAAGAACATTGAGCATGATGTGTTTGTCGCTGACATAGCAGCATCGAAACTTCACTGGACTGGAAAGGTTTGCGGATGTGGTCGGGCATAGTTCGACGTTAATGTCTGATCTATGGTAAGCTGTCGTTAACTTATCCGTTTAACGGCCCTCCATCTTCTCTCCTATCCCCCCGGAACGTTGGCGTAGATAAGCTGCTTGCTAGCGTATTGACCCATTCTTGTCGATCTATCCACTTGGTCTCGGCGCCATGTTCGTGAGTCACATTATGTGCCAAAATTATTGTAAAAATAAGTCATTTGCACGAGCCTCGGTAAAATGCAAGACCAAGACGTTTGACACAGCACCGCATTACTCGCAGCAATTTTCAACATTGTCCCCTAAATTCGCCGCATATTTGCCTGAGGGCCACCAACGAGAGCTGTCTCGCGCTCAGCCGAGCGAGCGCGGCTGGTGCGCGCCGTCGCGGCAGGTCGAACCCCCTGGCTGTCGGGTGTCGGATCTCCGGCAGCCGACACCGGACCCGGGCCGGGCGGCCGGCCTCGACACCCGACCCTCCCCGCCGGGTCCCGGCCCGCTCACCTGGCTGGCTCGGGCCGGCCGGTGGCGCTGGGGAGAGGCGGCGCCGATCGACTGGGCCGCAGCGTACCGCCGAGCCGCCCGCAGCATGGTCTGCTGCAGCAGGCTATGCCGGCGTCAGGTGCAGGACACGCTTTTTAGGCGCTTGACATCTGCTGGGACTCGGGCTCGACTGCTGGTTGCATGCGCAGCGGGCAGGGGGCAGTCTCGTCAGTCCGAGGCCGCATGAAGACGGATATAGTAATCACCCACTTTGAGAGGAAAAGGGAGCTATGACAGCAGTCTTATAAGCCCTTTTCAATAAAAAAGTTGAATGTTTCCCACTACGCCACACTTCAAACGAAGGCAAGGCATCACCCAAGCAAAACACTGTTTACTGGCCTGACCTGCCTATTGCTGCTCCGGACTGCAGACACATCAACAAAAGCATATTTCTCCCATCCTGGACGTACCATTCTTGCGCAACTTTCTTGCTGTGGCGGGTATTTGTCGCCCTTGGCCTGAATATCCCCCGGCGGGACGCTTGGCCTGAAGATCCCGCGGCGGGACGCTTGGCCTGAAGAGCTCGGGGTGGGACAAGAGCGGAAGATCTCGCGACGGGACAATTGATCGAAAGATCTCGCAGCCGAACGCTTGAGTTCAAGTGTTTTGAACTGACTCCGGGCGATCACGTGTTGCTGTTATGCCCACGGAAGGCACGTCTGAGACACCGGACGGTGAGAACGCGCGCGCGCGCGTGTGTGTCTGCGTGTGCTGGTGTCTGCGCGGTGTGCGCGCGCTTGTGTGTATGTGCGCGCGGTGTGTTTGTTGCTCGTGTGTCGGCGGTCGGTGGACGGTGGGTGGTTGGGAGGGGAGGGGTGACGGGCCTGTAAGCCGACCCATCTCGAGCTGGGGCGTGCTGGTACGCCCCCTCCCCTCCCCTCTCCGGCCGACGGGCCAGGCATCCGACAGCGGCCCGGCGGCTCTCCCAGCGCCAAGGCTCGACCCGGCACTGGACGTGGGCACGCGTGCGACCGAGCAGGGAGAGCCGAGCTCAAGGCACGGCTGGCTCACTGGCCTGAGAAACTGGCCATTATTTGCCTCCGATGTTTCATATGACTTCCATAAAATTACCGTTATTGCTCCATCTGCTGGGCGATTTCAGACGTCATGAAAATGTCCCAAGTGCTCGCGAATATCTTCCGTTGGCACCATTATTTCGCTATTTCATCAACCGAATGCCATTTGTAGTCATTCTATTAAGTATGAGCCAAATTTCGAACGTTTCAATAAGAGCTTCACGACACCGTTCAAGGTTTCTGCGTGGTGGCCTGATGTTTGCTGGTTGAATGATCAGCAATGTGCACTGTGCCCTCGCTTTATAGGATAGGCTCGACGTCACACACTCCTCGCACATCGGTCTTGTGACTCTCAGCCGTTCCATGTGAGCCATTCATTGAGAGTTAAGTCTTCGGGAGAGCGTCGACACTTCAGAGATGTGCCAGCAGTCACTACGGCTGACAACGGCGATCATAAGGCCATGATGTTGCGAGAGGCGTTTCGTAAACGGATCTGGTTCCAGGGGTATGAGTCCATAGGCGCGCGTGTCGGGCAGTCACAAATCGGCGGCCTGTGTCAACGGGCCGCCGAACAATGCAACGAACAGCGAAGTCGGTCGATCACGGAGTAATTAACTTTTTAGAGAAGACGTTGGGTTCCATTATTGTTTCTGAGTTCTGCCCGAGGTAAGTCACACACCACATGTCAGTGTCTTGGAAAAATGCATTGTTTTTTATGTTTTTTATTTTGGTCTGAGCGTGCTCCAGGTATAATTTTTGAGACCCCCGCTTCACCCAGTACAACACACAACTTTCCCTTCACCTGTCCGGGAGAACCTTGCACATGTGATCCAATGCTTTGACATGGTCACACGGTATTACCATGGAGACCATTTTGCCCTCCACCAGCTAACATACGCCGGGTAAAAAAATCAGCCACTCCTGGGATTTAAACCCATGTGCCTGCCACGTGCTGGAGTCGGGCGTCTGAAACATTCAGATACGGCTGCGGGAGCTGGCACAAATATATGTAAAATAAACATTAGGTAATATACATGTGCCCAAATGATTGACCACAGAATCGCAAACTTAAAACGGCACCACAGATAACCACACGATTTATGCCTGCGAATCAGTACAAAAGTTTTATTCTTTGGTGCAAAAGCTCAATGAATATCATTCATCAGGCAACTAAGCATCAACCATAGATCGGCTATGCTCAAAACACTGAATGCCTGGTTCAATCAGCCCTTATTTGGGGCGCCTTATGATATGCCTAAAAGCGATGCATTATCGTCAGGCAAGTAAGTTAGCATCGATTACAGAGAGCGCGAGGAACCTTACAGATCTCCTAGATGCCCGCTTACAAATTTCTTTACTTTCTGTTGCTCGGCACGGGTCATGGAAACCTTTCTACCAAGCCATCTTTAATTCGAGCTGTCCAGTGATGCACACGGTACTGATACATGTATCATTGGGTGCCAGGACGGGGTGACCTGAATTACTGGGATGCTTGTGAGTTTCGAGTTATACTTGTGGTGCCTGATGATCGTAAATAATTCACTTTCTAATCTGATACTCAGTGAGGGTCATGGTTACCTTCCCGCTTAGCCCACCCGTATTTCGTGCATCCCTCAGCGTAAAACCGTGCATAGAGTTTAGATGTCAGACCGGGTGGTAAAGCTCGAATAATTTTGTTATTGACATCTTTGGGTGGCAGTGTCTGTACTGGTCCAGAGCATTTTCTCGATTCACATGCCTTGGTTCTCAAATTTAACTTTTTGCTTAAACTTATCCGCTTAAACCCTTTCAACATGTGACCATAAGTCCAGCTTAAAACTTCGAACTGTCAAGATAAGCCCTGTTTGCGCAACCTCGGTGGTGATTTGGTGTTTTAGGGCGCGTCAGCATCTGGGTCATTTTGCGCCCATGACCTCTACCTTGTGGTATATTGTACGTCAGTTACTCAGCGTAAACACTCTTAACTTGATGTGGGTCGTCCTTTGCCCGTCTCGAGATACATGACGGAGCCAGTCCTAATGGCCAATGATTACATTACGGAGCTCGTCCTGATGTCCAATGAGTACATGACGGATCCAGTCCCGGTGACCAGTGAGTACATGACGGAGCCAGTCCTGATGGCCAGTGAGTACATGACGGAGCCAGTACTGAAAGCCAGTGAGTACATGACGGAGCCAATACTGAGGGCCAGTGAGTACATGACGGAGCCAGTACTGAAAGCCAGTGAGAACATGACGGAGCCAGTCCTGGTCGCCAGTGAGTACATGACGGAGCCAGTCCTGAAGGCCAGTGAGCACATGACGGGGCCAGTCCTGATGGCTAGTGAGTACATGACGGAGCCAGTACTGAGGGCCAGAGAGTACATGACGGAGCCAGTCCTGAGGGCCAGTGAGTGTATGAGGAAGTCAGTCCTGGATATAGTGTGAATCACTTTTATTATTATGTTGTGTTATAAATAACCCTATTTACAGTACTTTTGCGTTATCATCCTTAATATCATGTTGCGGGTGTAAAATCTCCATTCAGTAATACTTCTGTATAATTTTACTGCATAACATGTGAACACAAGTGATGACAGCTGGGTGACAGATTAGTATGGGCACAGTTTTCATGGATAGCGGGTGGATTGGGGAAAAAAAAAACCTAAACCGAGAAGACCTGCAGTTGGTGGTTAGGGTCACGGCGCCGGACAGGCCGGACAGACGGGGTCGGGGTGCCGGACAGACCGGGACAGGCAGGGTCGGGGTGCCAGGCAGGCCGGACAAACGGGGTCGGGGTGCCGGACAGGCCGGACAGACGGGGTTGGGGTGCCGGGCAGGTCAGACAGACGGGGTCGGGGTGCCGGACAGACCGGACAGACAGGGTCGAGGTGCCAGCCAGGCCGGACAAACGGGGTCGGGGTGCCGGGCGGGCCGGCAGTCAGGTTCGAGGTGCCAGACAGGCCGGGCAGACGAGGCCAGGGTGCCGGACAGGCCGGACAGACAGGACACCGAGCGACCACGAAGACCAGCCGAGTCGAGCAGGGGCGTGTTTTTGGCTAGTCAGTGACGGGGGAAGGGGCGACAACTGATAACTGCCGCGGGCTAATCGCAGATCAACCGCCACGCAGTCACGTTATCCTCTTGTGAGCTGTTATTTGGCCGGAACATCGTTTGACATGCGCGGGAAAACACCGTCCGATTTCTTCACAGCTAGGCTCCGGCAACAACAAACAACACTGTGTGGAAGAATCTGAGTACAGCTGGACGGCGCAGATTGTGGATGTCATCGACATAAGTTACGAGGGGAGCGAGGAAAAGTGTCATTTGTGTGTGAATTTCTTCCAGCTAGTGCATAAAATTCGGTTACCAGCGCGCAAAAAAACAGACGTCTAATGTCTATTC